ATACTTTCAAAACTCGCTAAGTGAACGTAAGTACTTACGATCTATTTTCTTGTCTATGATTGGTGGATTTTGCTTGAAAGGCCGTCAATGATTGGCTGATGAACTTACGATCTCTTAACTTTTTTTGAAAGTATGTGCCCTGAACTGTAACCACTGGGCCACCCTGCCCTGCTATTATATCAATTGGTACTTCATCTAAATGAATAATTTAATAATCAATTGGCACTTCTTCTGAAAATGAATAGTCAATTTTGATCCACGTATTGGTTTTAGTTCAATGCTGGCTCTCGACTTACCTGGTAGAAGGGAATATTTGGTACGTGTTTTGATTACGAATCGTGTTCTGAATATTTACAAAAGTTTTAGATCTTGAGTGTTCGTGTTCGAATTGAAGTATTTCACTCGTTTACTTATGTACAATACTATTTTTAAGCACTTAATATTATTATTTGTATTAACATTAATAGTGTTATTATGAGAATTAGTATTATTGTTGTTGTTTGCTTCACAGAAACAGGTTCATCATGGAAACTCGCGTCGTCAAACCTTTCGTGAACGAATAAACCTAAAATATTCTATAAACATGATTCTTCTAGCGTTGTGGGTCAAGCTCCTGTGTCAGGTCACAGAGTGAGTAATTGTGTGGTATTAAAATTATTCAATGTCACAACAAATTTTTGTAGTTCTATTGAACCATGTTCAGCAGTTTTAATTGTGCGTTTTCCTTGGAAATGAAATGGTTTGTTGACTACCCCCACAGTAAGAATTCCTAGCCTTTTAGCGATCTATGCTGCAATTGGATGATCGCCCTTCATGATGTAACGAAAGTTTTATCGTTGATTCAACGAATACCGTGCGTAATTTGAGCAGAAGAAACCAATATGAAAGGCCATCATAAGTAAAAAGCACGCTGACTCACACGTTCATATGAACTGAAGCTTCATATGAACACACATTTGCTGATGCCTCCTGAAACCGAGGTCGCACATGTCATAAGCATCTCAACCAGCAAACACGGTTTGTATGTGGCCGTTGATTAATCACTTCGGTGTCGACTGCCATATTGACCACGCTCTTTTATCATTTGACTACTTGAGCGAATGAAATGACATTCAAGTTCTCGGATCAACAAGGTTCGATTGTCTTTCTCCTGCAGTCGGGGTCGCAGATGTTATCAGCATCTCGATGAGCAAACACGGTTTGTATGCGGCCGTTGATTAATCACATCAGCGTCAACAATTGAACGCTCTAAAAATTTTTCTTGTTTACACATCAGCACCTTCAGACTCTGAATTTTTCTTGTCTGATCAAGTGTCATAAAATATTAGCATTTAATCCAATAATAGAAGAAGCCTTAGCGAGAAACCGGCACGTAATGTAAATTACTTTGAAAATAAAACGACCTGAATGTTATAAAATGAACATTCGCAAATTAAATATGGTTTATTATTCTTATTCAAAATATTTCAAACTATGAACGAATACGTAATATGAATACCAGTAACTTAAGAAAAATTATGTAGTTCCACATGGTCTTTTTCCCTAACACTTATTGGCCAATTGCTAGTCAATTAATTTATATACTAAAGAGTATTATCTAAGAAAAGTTCAAGTTAGTAATGACGCACAATTCAGTGCATTGATTGACGTGGCAGAAGGAAAGAGTTGTTATACTTTTTAATATACATGATAAGTGACGTGTCCTCCATGTCCCAATGCACCCCATTGTCCCCGAGCTGGATGATCCATCGGATATTTAGGAGGCACCTAACATTCACACTGCCGTCGATAATCAATCATCACCATTCTTAACGCATCGGGTCAACATTGAAACGTTAATTCGTTTCAATGGATAATTTTTATGGCATATTGACCTTCAAATTTGCCAGCAAATTCATCAACATTTCTTACATCCTCAACTCGCACGCCATGTCTGACTGGCCTTACGAAAATGGAGCAAAACATGGATGACATTTTCTCTGATTGGCAGAGAGAATAAGTTCATCATAATCGTTTAATATTCAAAAATAGTGCGTTTGATTAACCTGTAACTTAATTTATGAAAGTTATCGTTATAAGATATTGCCCCGAATCGTAGGGCGCCATTGTAGGGGTATAATTACCGGTCCACATCTACTACATTTTAACTCCAATGAATCTGTGGATTTGAAGGCCAAGGTAACTGGTCAATTTCACTAAAATCAAATAGAAATTTGAGGGGCAGCTAGATGTAATTGGTCGGGTTAATTTAATACAGCAACAATTGGTAATTTAGATTTATTTTTGGTTAAGCTCACGTGACCTGCTCGATGGTGATGATCCCGCTGGAATTGGAAGATAAGGCCGGTGGTGAAGACGATGAGCTTGGCTCGGCGAGATCTCGAGGCTGCGTGAAGACACGCGTAGTGCGTGGTGTTGTCGTCACGTGTAGAGGTTACTATAACATGTGGAGAAATCACCGTAGGCACGTGGAGAAAACACCGTGAGCACGTGGAGATGGCACTGAAGGCACGTGGAGAAATTACCGAAGGCACATGGAGATACACTGAAGGCACTTGGAGAAATCACCGTAGGCACGTGGTTATTACACCGTAAGCACGTGGAGCTACACTGAAGGCACGTGGAGATGACACCGTAAGCACAAAGAGATATCATTGAATGCACGTGGACATATCACTGAATGCACGTGGAAATATCTCAGAAGGCACGTGGAGAAAATCGCTGAAGGTACGTGGAGATGTTGTCGTGTTAATTCGTTTCAATGGATAATTTTTATGGCAAATTGACCTTCAAATTTGCCAGCAAATTCATCAACATTTCTTACACCCTCAACTCGCACGCCATGTCTGACTGGTCTTACGGAAACGGAGCAAAACATGGATGACATTTTCTCTGATTGGCAGAGAGAATAAGTTCATCATAATCGTTTAATATTAAAAAATAGTGCGTTTGATTAGCCTGTAACTAAATTTATGAAAGTTATCGTTATAAGATATTGTCCCGAATCGTAGGGCGCCATTGTGGGGGGTTCAATTACCGGTCCACATCTACTACGTTTTGACTCCAATGAATCAGTGGATTTGAAGGCCAAGGTACACGTGGAAATGGCACTGAAGGCACGTGGAAATATCTCAGAAGACACGTGGAGAAAATCACTGAAGGTACGTGGAGATGTTGTCGTGGGCACGCAGGCACGTGGAGATGTTGTCGTGGGCACGCAGGCACGTGGAGATGTTGTCATGGGCACGCAGGCACGTGGAGATGTTGTCATGGGCACGCAGGCACGTGGAGATGTTATCGTGGGTACGTAGGCACGTGGGATGTTGATTTACACGTTGCAGGGGCAGGGATGCTTCTTCATCGCCGATACGAGGTCACTGCGAAATAGGGCTACGTTAATATTTACGTCTCACGACACCATTTTACAAGTGAGCAATTTATCACGTGAGCTTCCGACATGGTAGAATTGATTGACTCGAAAAACTTGCAATGTCTCTGATCTATCATTACACTTGCACTTAACACAACTGAATACAAGAGCTATTCTAAGGGCAGGGTTTCTAAGTTAGAGAACTTACGAGGAGGCGTCGGCAGCCAGTCGCCAGGAAAGCAAATGGGCGTTAGAGTAGGACTGTAGGAGGAGAGTATAGAAGTAGAGAGACTTGGCGGAAGTGGGATGTTGCTAATCCACGGAAATGAGTTTTCTCCGGAATATTCTTATGATATTATGATGATTATTAATACGATAAACCTAATGTGATAAGTAATGATATTAATATGACAAACATAAAATTAGTTCTATGGAGCGAGATCCGCTGCAGCGGCTACACCATCAACTTGGTAGGACGAGAAAACTTTACAAAAAATTTTAATTGTTCGATTAACNGGGCAGGGTTTCTAAGTTAGAGAACTTACGAGGAGGCGTTGGCAGCCAGTCGACAGGAAAGCAAATGGGCGCTAGAGTAGGACTGTAGGAGGAGAGTGTAGAAGTAGAGAGACTTGGCGGAAGTGGGATGTTGCCAATCCACGGAAATGAGTTTTCTCTGGAATATTCTTATGATATTATGATGATTATTAATACGATAAACCTAATGTGATAAGTAATAATATTAATATGATAAACATAAAATTTGTTCTATGTAGTGAAATCCGCTACACCATCAGCTTGGTAGGACGAGAAAACTTTATAAAAAAATTTATTTGTTCGATTAGCCCTTTCAACAGCTCCGTTACTGTATGGATGAATATTAGTGTTGTAAATATATATGTTATTAGCTAAATTTCGTTGAAGGCGTCAAAACAAAACGTAGAAGGCGTCATGGCAAAGGAAACTCGGGCTTCTATCAGCTCAAAAAAATGATAATAATAAACGAGAAAATGATCAGAGGAACCAATCAAACTCGCAAAAGTTCGATATTAAAATTTACCATTTTATAAAAAAACATGAATCATTCGTGAGTGATCTATGACTGAACTGGCAGCAGCCATGAACAAAGTTCTTCATCAAAGCGGAGCGTGGTGGTTGATTCATTTATTCTTGGTACACCTGAACCAATAAACAGCATGTCTATAAAAATGCTCGTCTTATGACAACACCACAGCAGTGAAGCTACAGCCTTCGGACACCAAGCATATCCTGTCCTGTCTTTCAGACCCCAAACATATCCTGTCCTGTTTTCCGGACGCCAAGCATATCCCCAAGCAGAAGATGAATCGAGGTCTCGTGCTCCTCGTCGTGGCTGCGGCGTCTGTGTCGGCCCTGACGTACGTGTCGCGCGGTCAGCGTGTAGTATATACTTTGTGCTCATGCTTAAGTTTGTGACTATTTAACATCGCAGCTCTATTGAATATGTTCTAAAATGTCATTTATCAATGGTATGCACTTCATTTTGAATGAATGTGATTCTAACAAATTGTTTTCCTCAAATGCAGAATATAATAAAAGTATTTGAATGGTATTCAAAATTACAGAGTCTCCTCCTCATGTTACTTAGCTTTGCAGTCTGGGTACGCAAGTCTGGTGAACGCATCTCAGCCCTGCTTTACTAACTACACGACGAATATAACACGATACAGCACTAGTAAGTGCTCTAATTAGTAAGCATTTATTACTATGTTTATTATATCATGCTACCATCATTTTACTAAAAAATAAATTTTTAGAGCTTCAGGCAAACATTTAGACTCTGATAAACAGTATTGGCATATGATATTATCCAATGCAAATCGTAATCGAAATCTCTCACAACATGACTGGTAAAAATAGTGAGCAACTATCATAAATAGTTTAGGTTTCTTTAAATTACCTAAATATATTATCACTCGAAAGCGTATAATTTTTCCTTATATATTAGCAGAAGTAATGAAGATTTAAAACCAAATTGTTGACACCTCCAGCCACCATGTCCAGCTCACGCCCTCGTAGATGATGACTTGCACGTTACTAGCCGAACGCTACGTTTCTGACAACCTTCTGACACACCTTCTGACACACCTCCTGACACACCTTCTGACACACCTCCTGACACACCTTCTGACACACCTTCTGACACACCTTATGTTGTTGATGCACCGAATGCGTCATGAAATTTTGTGAACACACATTTAATTAAAGACTGAGTTCCTTTCCTTCTTCTTGTATTTAATAAGTTTTAAATAAAAAAAATAATAATTTCGTGCTATTGCCTTATTTTTCTATTCCCCCTCGACTGTAACAGCTGCAGGCTGCTACAGTAAAACACAAGCGTACAATGCCACCTTCTGTGATCCAATTATTTCGGGTTATATGAAATGCAGCTTGAAAGTTGCAGGACTTGTGAGTATCCCTGAGTGCTGAGTTTGATTTCAAAATTTGAAGGTGTGACTTGATTATTTAGGTTTCGATTGGTTGCCTTCAAAAGAACGCGCTTAGAGTTACTGGTTTTTTCATACCCTGTTTTGTCAAATGTATTTATTGATGAAATGATTAGGATGTTCATTGTCGGGGAAACGGATGTCTTGAGATGAAATCTCCGCCCTGCTATTATAAATACATAACGGATTTTACACGATATGTCACAAGTAAGTGCTCTAATTAGTAAGCATTTATTCCTACGTTTGTTAACTTATGTCAGCATTATTTTACTAAAAAATATTTTTTAGAGCTCCAGGCCAACATTTAGACTCTAATAAACAATATTGACAGATGATATTATCCAATGCAAATCGTAATTAAAGTCTCTCACAACATCACTGGTAAAAATGGTGAGCAACTATCATAAATGGTGGAGGTTTATTTATTTTGCCCTAAATTAATTGTCACTCTGAAACGCATAATTTTTCCTTATATGTTAGCAGAAATGAAGAAAGTTTAAAATCAAATTGTTGACACCTCCAGCCACCATGTCCAACTCACGCCCTCGTAGATGGTGACTTGCATGATACTAGCGAGCGCTACGTGTCAGATAAACCTTTTTCTGACACACCTTGTGACATAATTTTCTTTCTGACACAGCTCCTGACACACCGTATGTTGTTGATGCACCGAATGCGTCATGAAATTTTATGAAGTTTTATCTTTTCTTCTGCTGTATTATTAATAGGTTATGTTGCCTTATTCCTCCCATTCTCCCCCTCTTCTAACAGCTCCAGGCTGCTGGGACTCCATGCAAATAGAGGCGTACAATGCCGCGGTCTGTGATCCAATTCCCTTCAGTTACATGAAATGCGTCGTACAAGCTGCAGGACTTGTGAGTATCTCAGAGTGCTCAGTATGATTTCAGAATATTGAATTGTGACTTGATTATTTAGGTTTCGATTGGTTGCCTTCAATAGAACGCGCTTATAGTTACTGTTTTTAGCATACCCTGTTTTGTTGAATGTAATTATTGATGAAATGAGCATGATGGTCATCGGCGGGAAAATGACATGCATCGAAAGAGGAAATGTGTGTATATTCTATTGCTAGTAACTAAATATGCATGTTCCCATTAAGTCCAGAAAATAACTGCTGGAAATGATGAAAAATATCTCTTCAATGCCTTGACTTCCTTTATTACCACTTCACATATTATCTTTTCTTCCACAGCTCAATTCCGATGGTTCATTCAACGACGCGGCCTTCAAGACAACCACGTTGCAGAACAAGTGCAGTTCAGACACCGCGTTCTCAACCGCGTACCAGTCCTGCAGCAACTCCACCATGAAATACATGAACGTAAGAAACTCGGTACACAATAATTTTATTAATGATATCATGCAACACTTCAAGACGACCAGACCCTAACATATTTTTAATATATATTATTATATTATTTATTGATAACATCATAGCCTTGATGCAACGAATTTCGTAATAATTCAACTAACTCAAATCCAGGCCTCCAGCGAGTATAATTTGCTTAAATATCTGCAGATGTTTGATGTTGATGTTTCATGTCATGTTTTTCAGTATCCTCGGTTATTCGTGTGCCTTGGTTACGGAGGCATATATTAATGAACTGACGCAACTGGTAATGAATGAACTCACCCGCAACACGGCGAACTGAACTCACCCGCAACACGTCGAACTGGACTCACCCGCAACACGGCGAACTGAACTCACCCGCAACACGGCGAACTGAAAACATGACTGAAATCAACATGAATATCTGAATGCATATGCAAATAATGTTTGATAGATTGAATAATGCATATGCAATTCAATCTATGTATATTCCATATCATGCAGGAAGTTGAGTTTTCTTAACCTCTCAAGCGTTGAAAGATGCTTAATAAAATATACATTCAGGACGCTAATTTTGCCAGCCAGTAACGGAGATGTTGAAAGGGTTAATCGAACTATCAATTTTTTAATGAAGTTTTTCCGGCACACCAAAGTGGGCTGACGCTTTACAAATTGCGGCAATAACGTAGAATAATAACTTTTATAGGAATAGTCACAGACTAATGCAACGACTGTTTTTGTAAGAAAACATGATGATGCATTTATTCCTTCTATCAGAGGCTCTTAGCAATTGTAGAGAAGGTTATCCATATTTTGCACAGTTTTCATAAGGCCAGTTAGCCATGGAGCGAGACACAGTTAAGGGCGTAAGAAATGCTGACGAGGTTGCTGGCAGGTTTAAAGTTCAATTGTTAGATAATTTATTCTAGAAATTAATTCCGCTTTCGTTACACGCGTTGTATTTAACTCATTCCTTGGTGCTCAAGCTGAGAGAATATGAGTAGAAACTACTTCTCAGAGCAATGAAAGTTTTTGTCATAGCAACACAAATAAATAGATCCAATTGGCAAGATCATCCAGGAAGACACATTACTTCTCAGCCAGTTCTCAAACCGGCGACACGCATGATCAGTCATCATATAATACAAGTGCCGCAACGCTACCATGTTTAATTAATAAATATCAGGGTGTGCGCCAGATGAAGTAATGCATACTTAAATTTTAATGCAGGTTTCATTGAAGACCAGAGAGTATTTCTTATTGACAATTTTCTTATTGTTTTTCTCTATTCGGCGAATTAGGCGCTTGACAGGAAGTGAAAATCCAAATATCAGGTTTAGAAGGGACATTTTATTATAATTTTACGACGTTTCGAATGAAACTTCATTCATTTTCAAGTATAGGAAGAGTTTCGCAGCAACTGAATTTTAAATTTTGAAATGGCATTAGTACAAACATAGGTATTATGGATACAGATTGGAATCAAAGCTTAAATTATGAGAACAGTTTCAACGTCCTGACAAATCCGGTAGTTTGTAAATTAATAGCTGGAGACTCCTGCTTGATGATGAGAGCCTCAGCTATGCCAGTCTTGTGGCGTCTGGACATCTCATGATGATTTTGGTGTGGGTCTCCAATGTCGCGCGAGTGAGCGTGTCATTATGAGCCTCCCTCATGTGGTTCTTCGGTTTTCCGGTCTGGAGGTGGCATGTTAGGCGGCGGATCAAAGTCGTGCTGGTCAAACCAATGTAATTTACGTTCTGGAGAAGTCTACAACCTTCTTTGTGGCACGAATATTTGTAAATAACATTAGTTTGTTGTAATGGGCCCGAACTTTTGCACGGATTATTTTTCATTATTAAATTCCTGATTTTCATATTTTATAGTAAATCAAGAGTTTGATTCGGTTGGCTGCGGTTGTGCTTCTGATGTTATTCAGCACGATTGATTTGAGGACTCTTTCGTCAGTCTTGTGGCCTTCAGTCATCTGATTTTGGTAATAAATTGTTATAATACTTTCGTTCTGATTTAGCCCAAATTCGCAGGTGAACGTCAAAACTGAATTGAGTTCTAAGGCCACGCGTAGCTCAGTAATGTGATCCTCATCTCGAACAACGACAAAAATATCGTTGGTTTTTTGTCGACAACGAAAAGGTTTTTATACAATTTCTAAAATTCTTTTCGCCGAAAGTCTTCCTGCCACGAAGTAATATGGTAATGAAATGTCTAAATATTGGCTTTTCAGTTTCATTTGAAAATTAGTCAGCCTCGAGTGAAAGGTAAAAAACTAAATGTGAAAATGAATTTTTTAAACTCGGAGAATGAACAATGCACCCGAACTTTCAATATCATGCATTCAATGCTCCTACAATCTTAAACAAAAGTTTTAGCTCCCAGAGCCTGATCGTTATTTCATTATTGATTAAATTTGTTCAATGAACATTTTTAAATGCTAATCAACTGGCAACTTGACTACTTTAAATATTATACACGAGTTGAATTGGCAACATTGAAATTGTTTTCGCGAAATTTGCTTCTCACAATGTACTGCTGTTGTCGCTAATTTCTTGCACGTCACCATTACGAAGTGTAGATTGCCGTGCCGCTTATTAATTGTTGTTCATCTTGTGATCAATTAGGTTGTATTGTAACAGGTCAAGTTACAGTGAATATCATGACAATTTTCTTGTTTTCTCATATGAAATGAACAATTTATTAATTCATTTATTCGTTAATAAGTCGTAAAATATTTACTTATAATTTTGTTTTGCATCCACCGAAGAGTTTGCTAACCGGAGCAGTAAATTCAGTGATACCGTACACATTTCTAAGCGTGTTCTTTCACTTTATTATTTGAAAATCTCGTCTTACAAAATTTCTTCATCCTGTCATCTGTTAATAAGTTTATTTTATTATTTTTTATAAATTTTATAAATTATTGTAGAAGGCGTCCGTCAAGAAATAAAGACTCACTTGGGGCAAGAGGCCTCCAACTCCGAGGAACCAAAAACTTCGGCACCTGACGAAGTGTCAAACCAGATTGAGGTTGTCATGTCCCTTAATGGTCAAGACGTGTCCTGTATCGTTGACACTGGTGCGAAGGTATCAGTAATGCCGTCGTCGGTCTACCAGTCCCTGCGTGATCGGCTGCCCAGGCTCGAGCCTTGCAGTGAGTGTCTCTATGGCGTGTTCGGGGAAGCGGTAGTGACACAAGGGGTGACGTTGTCACAAGTTATGGCACCGGCACGTGCGAGGCTGACTGGTACGTCATAGAAATGCGCCGCGAAACTCTCCTCGGAATGAACGTCCTCAACACAATGGGGATGGTAATTGACGTGGGGGCCAGGTCAGTGGACGTCCGAACAAGCTCTCCTCCTCTGAGAGGTGACAGCAAAAAGAAGAAAAATGAGGTCCTTTTAGGTCCGTTGACCGACGTGAAAATTCCTGCAAGACATCAGAGGATGATCCACTTGCGTGGCGTGGAATTAGACGGTGACTCCTACCTGACCGCCCGGGCCCAAGAGTTGCCTCAAGAGATAGCGGTTGCTAGAAGCCTCTGTTCAGGTCTGTCCAAGGACAGACCTTGGAAGTTGCTCTCCATTGATTGTACTAGAGAAACCGCGAGTGTAGGACCACAAACTGACGCTCCTGATTAATCGTCGACGTTCGGGATCCCTTCGGTCAACGCAGAGCTAAGTGATGAAGAGAAGGCTCGGCAGCGACGGCGATGCGCCGTTTTGGCGGTGCGAGGACTGCGGGATCAGCGAACGAGCAAGCGAGGGCGCTTGCATCAAGCGAGGGCGCTTGACGCTTGAGTAGGGGGCCGTATGACGGGATGAATATTTCGCGATATTTTTTTGTTTCTAGGAAGTACCTGTTTAACTGTACGGTCTATTAATGATGATCTTGTGCTAAGATTAGTGACTAGTTAATGGTTGGCAACATTTATTTTATGACTGAAACATGGAATCTCATTTGAATGTGATATTATTTAGTTAACTCAAGGATTTAATTTATGTATGACTAAGGAATGTGTCGACATATTTTTAATTTCGTGACAATCTCCTTTACTGTGATATTATTTTTGATAAATACATAGGATTTAGTTATTAGCGTCTTGGGACGAGACTGAATGTTGTAGCTCCAACGTGATTGGTCGAGTTGCTCCTAGCCTCGCGATGGTTCACGTTCATTCCCCTAGGTAGTCTTAAACGATGGAGATTTCTGTCTCTTTAGAATTAGTTTAGGATTATTCGACTACTAACTTGTGATTAGTTTGCCAAATGATTAAAATTATGATTACTTCATGGTATTGTATTATAGTATCAATTTTTTTGCACAAAAGAGTGTTAAAGGCCTTTTTTGTGCTCCTTATAAACGAGGTATCGTGTTAACATTATTTTAGCTGAGTTACCCCTTGCGGGCAAGTTGTGTGTGCTCAGTGGTACTGGGTTGGGAAACAGAAGTTTCAACTCGAATTTAGGGAGCCAGGTCTGGGCTTCCAAGAATTAACTCCACGTTAGTTCAGGATATATCTCGTACGAGATCCACTAACGGACTAATAACGGCGTAGGTAGAGTTCTTGGCTAGTTCCAGCTTTTGGCTGTGTTGTGCGGTTAATAGACGTTCTATTCGCACCCTAGTGTCGTAGAGGCTAACAGCCTCTGCGCTCGAGTAAATTGTCAGCGGCTTATAGGAGGCTCGTACCCTTCAATAGTCGTGCTATTGAGGTGTAACTTGCCATCCCATTCCTGTGTGGTTGTCGGCATCGTGGTGCAGCTCGTGCCTGTACCCTTGTTATCCGTTACTGTGTGGTTGTCGGCATCGTGGTGCAGCTCGTGCCTGTAGTCTGGCATACAACTGACTACGAATACACATCATTTCACTATAGCGTTCAGTAGTTACGAATCTAATTATATCTTGAAATATATGAAATAATAATATTAACAAAGCCCTTACTCTTCTCAACGAAGAGGATTTTGAATAAAATATAGTAAAAGGTTGTATTTATTATAGTTTTAACGAGTGGATCATCTGTGTGCGATTCTGACCAAGGGTTACGCGCCTGTTTTTGATTAGTTTGAAAATCGCCGCCTCGTAAAGCGCCTGTGTCGGAGTTAAGCCTTCCTCAATCGTTTGGCCATGAAAAAACATTAAATTCTCAATCAATTCAGTTGAGGAAAATTTAATCTGCAAATAATGACTGGGAGGTGCTGCGTGCTTCCTATTGTAAAGTTTACCTACAATATTTTTTTCTGATATCCGATTGATTCTATCGTAGAAAACGACACAGTTTGCACCCACTAACTCGTTTAGATACCCTTTCAATTTCGCGTATTAAAACCAGATTTAATTGAGTCTTTGTACTGCAGAAATTAAACCTAGCACATTGCCTCAAACCTAGCCTGAAAACCTAGCACATTGCCTCAAACTTCCTGCTGCTTCTTATTTTAAATGTCTTACAGTACCTCATTATCAATAATAATTGTTAGCTTACTCCCTGAAAACACATTTGTTAGCAAACTTGGTTTTCTACAAGCATGAGTTTTCTGCAAAATTTAAAATAATTTATGCGATTTTAAATTCGCAAAATATTGTCCGTGCCTGAAAGACGACGAAACTTAAATAAAAACGCCTAAATAACTGCAAAAACATGTCTCAACTGTGAGCTTTTTCGTGCATATATAACAGCGTTTATATAGGACGCTACCTAGGGGCTAAGTATGAAGCGGACCAAAACAGCGCTCACAGGAGTGTATTAATATATAATATGTTTACTTAATTTTGAAATCAATGCCGCTATGTAGGAAAACAGGCATGAGATGATATAGTTTCCCCTAAGAATGAGTAATCAGGTTCGTTTTCTGACGGCTGAACATATGTTTAGGAAGAAAATAGTTTTGTTCATAAACGTAGTTAAGTCATTAGTCGACCAGGTCGGTAAATCATTAGTTAATCAACTCGTTTCAAGATAATAAGGTTAAGAAACAAGATAAACTTTATATAAAAATGCACAATTGATTCCCAAGTTTCAAGGAAAATTCTTCTAGAACTTTCAATGTATAAAAACTAATTTATTGATTTGATGATGCCGTGGCAAAATTCTACATAGTATCAACAGAGCTCGGAAATATAAGTCCGTTTGATTTTTATAAAGAATTTGATTTTATCCATTAACTAAATTAGAACTCAATTATGTATCGGAATTTCAACAGCGAGGGATCGAAAATATCAATATAAAATTCGGTTACTATAGAGCAGTGACTGACACTTTTACTATTTTAATGTAATATAATATAAATTAATTCTAGTAATTTCGTAGCTCTACTGGAACATCTTTTTACACGTTGCAGGGGCAGGGATGCTTCTTCATCGCCGATACGAGGTCACTGCTAAATAGGGCTGCGTTAATATTTACGTCTCACGACACCATTTTACAAGTGAGCAATTTATCACGTGAGCTTCCGACATGGTAGAATTGATTGACCCGAAAAACGTGCGATATCTCTGATCTATCTTTACACTTGCACTTAACACAACTGAATACAAGAGCTATTCTAAGGCAGCCAGTCGACAGGAAATCAAATGGGCGCTAGAGTAGGACTGTAGGAGGAGAGTATAGAAGGAGAGAAACTTGGCGGAAGTGGGATGTTGCCAATCCACGGAAATGAGTTTTCTCTGGAATATTCTTATGATAATATGATGATCATTAATACGATAAACCTAATGTGATAAGTAATAATATTAATATGATAAACATAAAATTAGTTCTATGTAGTGAAATTTGCTACACCATCAGCTTGGTAGGACGAGAAAACTTTACAAAAAATGTATTTGTTCGATTAGCCCTTTCAACAGCTCCGTTACTGTATGGATGAATTAGTGTTGTAAATATATGTTTTATTAGCTAAATTTCGTTGAAGGCGTCAAAACAAAACATAGAAGGCGTCATGGCAACTGAAACTCGGGGCNTGTGCTTCGAACAAATTTTATTTTACCTCAAATGCAGAATATAATAAAAATATTTTAATGGTATTTAATGTTACAGAGTCTCCTCCTCATGTTACATGGCTTTGCAGTCTGCTTACGAAAGTCTTGAGATGAAATCTCCGCCCTGCTATTATAAATACATAACGGATTTTACACGATATGTCACAAGTAAGTGCGCTAATTAGTAAGCATTTATTACTACGTTTGTTAACTTATGTCAGCATTATTTTACTAAAAAAATATTTTTTAGAGCTTTTAGCCAACATTTAGACTTTAATAAACAACATTGGCAGATGATATTATCCAATGCAAATCGTAATTAAAATCTCTCACAACATCACTGGTAAAAATGGTGAGCAACTATCATATATGGTGCATGGAGATTTCTTTAAATTACCCTAAATACATTATCACTCGAAATCGTATAATTTTTCCTTATATGTTAGCAGAAGTAATGAAGATTTAAAACCAATTTGTTGACACCTCCAGCCATCATGTACAGCTCACGTTACTCGAAACGCTATGATTCTGACACACCTTCTGACATACTTTTCTTTCTGACACACCTCATGTTGTTGATGCACCGAATGCGTCATGAAATTTTGTGAACAGTCATTTAATTAAAAATTGGGTTCCATCTTATCTTCTGCTGTGTCATTAATAGGTTATAAAATTAAAAAGAATAATTTCGTACTGTTGCTATATTCCTCTCCTTCCCCTCTCCATATAACAGGCTGCTATGACTCCATGTACACCCAAGCGTACAATGCCTCCCTCTGTGATCCAATTTTTTTCGGTTTTGGTAAATGCGCCTTAAAAGCTGCAGGACTTGTGAGTATTCCTGAGTGATGAGTTTGATTTCAGAATTTTAAATTGAGACTTGATTATTTAGGTTTCGATTGGTTGCCTTCAATAGCACGTGCTTACAGTTACTGGTTTTTCATACCCTGTTTTGTCGAATGTATTTATTGATGAAATAAGCGTGATGGTCATTGCGATGGCGGGAAAACGGACATGCATCTAGTTCTAGAGAGAGGAAATGTGTGTATAATCAATTTCTACGAACTAAATATGCATTTTCACATTAAATCTAGGAAATAACTGCTGGAAATTATGAAAAATATCTCCTCAATTCTTTGACTTCCTTTTCACCGCTTCAAATCTTGTCCTATATTCAATAGCTCAATTCCAATGGTTCATTCAACGACGCGGCCTTCAAGTCAACCACGTTGCAGAACAAGTGCAGTTCAGACACCGCGTTCTCAACCGCGTACCAGTCCTGCAAGAACTCCACCCTGAAATACATGAACGTAAGAAACTCTGTACACAATAAATTTATTAATGATATAATGCAACACTTCAAGACGATCAGACCCTAACATATTTTCAACATATATAATTATATTATTTATCAATAACATCATAGCCTATATGCAACGAATGTCGTTAAAATTCAAATAACTCAAATCCAAGCCTCCAGCGAGTATAATTTGCTTAAATATCTGCAGATGTTTGATGTTGATGTTTCATGTCATGTTTTTCAGTTTCCTCGCTTCCTTTTGTGCCTTGGTTTAACAAGTTTACTTTAATAAACTGAGGCAACTAATAATGAATGAAATCACTCGGAACACGGCGAACTGAACTCACCCGCAACACGGCTAACTGAACTCTCCCGCAACACGGCGAACTGAACCCACCCGCAACACGGCGAACTGAACTCACCCGCAACACGGCGAACTGAACTCACCCGCAACACGGCGAACTGAACTCACCCGCAACACGGCGAACTGAACTCACCCGCAACACGGTAAACTGAACTCACCCGCAACACGGCGAACTGAACTCACCCGCAACATGACAGAAATCAACATGAATATCTGAATGCATATGCAAATAAAGTTTGACTATATTATCCACGATTTCATAATATAAGGAAGTTCATTGGGAAACGCAATCTATATTGATAATGATGAATTGCATCTCAATCAATATATCAATCTATATATATTCCAAGTCATGCAGGAAGTTGAGTTTTCTTAACCTCACAAGCGTCAAAAGACGCATTAATAAAACAAACATTCAAGACACTAATTTTTTCAACCATGCAATAACGGTATGGTTGGAAGGGTTTATCGAACTATCAATTTTTTAATGAAGTTTTTCCGGCACACCAAACTGAGATGGCGCTGTATGAATTGTGGCAATAACGTACAACAATAACTTCCATACGAATAGTTACAGACTAATACGGCGACTATTTGTTGTAAAAAACATGATGCAGCATTTATTCCTTTTGTCAGAGGCTCTTAGCAATTGTAGAGAAGGTTATCCATGTAGCAGCAAATTATCCATGTAACCGTAGCAGCAAATTCAGTGATACCGTACACATTTTAAGCGTGTTCTTTCACTTTATTGTTTGAAAATCTCGTCTTACAAAACTTCTTCATATTGTCAACTGTTAAAAGTTTATTTATTCTACTTCAACTCCAGCACTTCCCATAAAAAATGTGATAAATAAAATCTGCTGATATTTGAACTAGTCTCACTCCCAGGCAGCTGGATATATAGTTTCGCTTTTCATTCACTCGTGCATCTGACTTTGAATTTTCTTCACTCACCCATACAGTATCTTACTCAGCATATGCTAGATGCGTTTTATAAGAAAATATCAGATGATAGTTCGAAGTCGAAGGCAATCATTCATTGGTGGACTCTATTTTATAGATTATGGAAAATAACAAAACTTGACCTTAATGATTACTTCACGCGAGCCATATGATCCTAATTAATCACTAATGTTTTCGTTATTTCGATTTTTTCAACCTTGTCCAAAGCCATTTTATCTCGAGTTAAAACATCCACCATGCAAGGGTAGGGTGACCCAGTGGTTACAGTTTAGAGTACCAAGATTTGAGCAGGGATTTGCTGGTTCTCGTGCATCTGACTTTGAATTTTCTTCACTCACCCATACAGTATCTTACTCAGCATATGCTAGATGCGTTTTATAAGAAAATATCAGATGATAGTTTGAAGTCGAAGGTGGACTTCATTGGTGGACTCTATTTTAAAGATCATGGAAAATGACAAAACTTGACCTCGACGATTAGTTCACGCGAGCCATATGATCCTAATTATTCACTAATGTTTTCATTATTTCGATTTCCACACCTTAACAAAGGCCATTTTATCTCGAGTTAAAACATCATCCACGATGCAAGCGTAGGGTGACCCAGTGGTTACAGTTTAGAGTACCAAGATTTGAGCAGAGATTTGCTGGTTCGACCCCTGCTTCCTTCGACAATTCTGTTCAAGATCAGTGAGATGGTTGCGCGGTTAAGTATAGTGGAGATGGGTTCAGTGAGTATCGTGTTCGAGACCCGCAGCAAGCTATAAGAATTCTGCGGTGTTAAGTATCGTCGACATGTCTAATGGTCTGATCTGCAATGCTGAAACCGCGGATATTATTATTAATATTATGGGTAATAAAAATTTAATAATTTCTTGGCACAATTTTCCTTTAATTTTAACTCTTGCGCCATCCTAAGTATCTATCTTCTCCTATGATTCTCAAGAGACAGCATTGACAGATGTACCATTCGATTCTTAAAGAAAAGATCTAGAGACTGGTCGTAGATTTTTTGTAATTTCGTTATGCGCAAAAAGGGGGAAGAGGGAGGAAATCGAAAAACGGAAAATCCCCCCCCCCTTCCCATAAAAATAAGAATTTCGAAAAAAACTACGACGAACCGCTAGATATGGGCTTTACGCATCGAAAAATCCCAGGATGAGATAGATTTCTACAGTACCCCTTTTTCCTGCCGCTTTCTATGCATTTTACGTAGTCTTCCATTCTTTCGAAAATTTACATCAACATAAAAGTCTTAGATTTTTGTTTTACACTTGTGTACCAAGTTTCAAAGTGATCCGTCCGTAAATAAAAAAGTTTTATTTTGCCCGAGACGCTCGCCTTAAGCGCGGCGGCTCTGACTAAAACCAGCTCCTGACTCCGCTATAATACTCGTATTTACCTCGGCGGGGATTCCACTATAATGGGAATTGCATTTAAAGACAATGGCTTGTAATTAAATCAGCCAGATATATTACTCTTCCTTAACAATTCTGGTTATTGTATTGTATGTTCTACACAGTCCAGGGACCGCCTTAAAAGTTTAACCTGCAGAATTTTAATATAATTTTTTAATTCTTGTTTGGCACGTCGGCATGACACAGACGATGCTATGCACAAGACAAAATGCTGTAAATTGAAGAAATTCTCATTCATATCAGGAAATAAAGGCAAGAATAATTCATGGTAAGTCCATAGCAATGAATTCACAGCTCTCGCGAAGAGGTTCTAAACCGCAGCCAAATATCTTCTGTATGAGCAGTTGTACTGACATGTAGACATTGAGCTTTTATTGATTACTTTGACCTTAAAGCTTCAGCTGCGACACGTGACTCATGGCTGCTAAAATAAACACAACAAAATATATTATCTGCAAAACTATCAAACTATTTGATAGCAAAACAATCGTGTACAGGAGCCAAGATAGTTCGTTGACACGCGTGTCAACTAAAAGTAATGATGCCGCATGTCATTATCGAAACATTATAGACTCAAAGTTCATTAAGCAGCTTAATTGTCAATAGATAAATAAGTATTAAGAATGACTAGCATGGTTAATCAACCGCCATCATAAATAAAGTTGAAAACCATTAGCGATGTAAAGAAAAGGGGTAGAGATCATAGAGATTACAGTATTGAATTATTAACTTTAGACTTGGCTGAATGTAATTCTTATTTATTATTAACTTTATATTCTGCTGAATGTTAATTTTATTTTTCATAAACTTTGGACTCAGCTGAATCTAATTTTTACGGAAAACGGTACTGTGAATGCATTATATTTATATTTAATTTTTTCAAGTTTGCAAATTGATCCGATCCGGCAGAAGGTATATAAAAGCTCATTCATATGTTGTCATCATGCTCGTGTTGAAGTGCACCAACTATCACAGCTCGGTTAAGCAAGCCTCCCACGCAACGAGCAAGATACTACCAGAAAATATGACTCAAAAATGAGATTTCCATGTAAGGGTCGTTCATGCGTTACATTATAGTGCTATTAATGTATTTTCCAAAATGACTAAAATAATGTAAAAGAATTTATAATATAATCAAATAAATTATTTAAGCAGCCGGAAAATCACTCGAGAAGTAAATTCCCGGCGAATACTAACGAAAACTATGCGCATGGGGTCAAAGATGGTATTGAAATACAGTTGATTGTGACTAATTTTATTTCGCTTATCCATAAAGTAAATGAGAATGTAGGCCGGTATAGCCTGACTGGGCCGGAAGAATGCGTATGGTCGGGTGCGACCCAACCACCTCATGACGTGATCGCCCCGCGGCCAATGAACCCATGGCGTTCCGTTCAGTGCTGCAAATAAAATTACGAAATATCCGGTAAACTATGAATTTATCTTCTATTTATTGGATAAAATTCATTCATAAGTATATTTAAGTTATCATTTATCTATTACTAAATTAGAATCTAGCTATATAAATTCATAAATCTATTATGGATCAATATATCCATTTACCAATTATCGATTAAAATTATAGCATGGGCACAACCCGCCTATATCTTATAATGCAGTGCATGCCAGCATTCAGTTAACTAAATTATATTCAAAATATTCAAATATATAGAACTAGACAACTATTTAATACGTAGAGCACCTTTATTTTAGCAGGTCAAGGGGAAGAGTAAAGCTAGGTCTGCTTCCGAAACAGTCTGGCACGCACTCCCACGACAAAGTGATACCGCGGACTTACGTCTCGTATGAAGCTGTCTGCTGCTGCATGAGCTCAAGTCATCATCGCTAACGCCATGGAACGGAGGGTAGCAAGTGATTACCGATTGGTAGATAAAGCAGTTATATAACAATTTTGGTTTTATGTTAGACTCATGAGATTATGTAGAAATATACTATGATAAGGATTCAGGAGTATATTATTTCTGGAAAGATTGATGACTTTGAAATGTGGTATTGTCGGTTTGCCAAATGTCCGAAAATCAACTTTGTTTGCTGCTGTAACTTCCAGTAACGCAACACATCAACATAACCCAGCATCACGTTATATGACAACTTATGATAAAATCCAAGTATTCTTTTGAATTTAAAATCTTTAAGCGTACATTTTTAGTCAAATCTTTCTTATGGTACGCGTATGTCGTACGCAACTTAGTAATAGTCAATTTTAATCCACGTATTGGCAGTAGTTCGATGCTGGCTC